TTCTATTCCCCTCAGAGGGTGTAGGAGGGGGTCCTCAACATTAAAAGCACTTTGCCGTCAGAGGCCTCTCGCACGGGGTCCGAGCAGGGTCGGAGGATCGCGCCGCATCGCCGATGCATCGCGATGCGTTGGCGCCGTCGGCGTGGAGAAAATCGGGCTCCAAATCGAAATGTATTGGCGATGCATCGATGATGCGGCGCGATCCTCCGGCGTATATATCCTGGCGTGTCACGCCCCTCTCCTTATGTAACAACCCGTTGGTCGGAAAAAGTGGGTGAAAGCATTAAGTAGGAAGGCATTGGAAGTAGATTGGGTTTCCACCCGCCCCCCGAAGAGGAAGGAAAAAGGAAAAGCACTCGATAATCGAACGAGGAAGGCGCCCAACGTAGATTAGGATCTGGAAATCCGGAAATACCCACTTACAACGACCCGCGTGTACCCCCCGAAACATGCGGCCGACCTCTTGACCTGGCGAAGAAGCGCGCCGACTGTGTTTGAGCAGGGACCGACCGTCCCGGCATTCCCGTAAGCATAACACGAAATTCTCTGAGAACCCTAGAAATGTTCTAGTTACCAACACAATGCTCCTAGTACATCAACCTGATGTGTTCAAACAAGACAGTCCAAGCCAGAAATGTTATAAAACCTTTCGTGCAAACCACACGAGGTTCTTAGAACATTATTTGGTGGCCCGATAGGCGGGCCAGGACGCTTTGCCACTGCTTGATCTGTACGGAAGGGGCCCGTCGCCGAGCCCCGCGCCTTCATCCATGGTTGCGCTTCCTCGAGACCCCAAACATTTAACGCTGCAGCGCGGGTCCAAAGAAGCCTGGACCCCTTCCCGGGGACCGGCTTCTCGTCCTAGGCCGGTTTTTCGATGCGACATATGGCCATAGGCCTGGCCGGGGCCCCAGGAGACCCGCAACAACCACAAACCTCGCGTGCACCTTCCGTTAGGTCGGGCATGTCCTCCTACAGGCGGATTGTCAAAGAAAATGTTTAAAAACAATGAAGAATATTCAACAAGAGTGGAAAGATCGTCCCCGGAGTAGTGTTTGACAATTTTTGCAGATGCCTCCTGTAGAGGGACACGCCCGACTTCAACCTTCCGCAACTTCCCCGCTGAAGGTGACGTCGCGATGCAGCCGCGGTGGCCGCCGCGGACGCCGCCGCGGTCGCCGCCCACCGTCGCGGTCGCGGCGGCGGCCGCGAAGGCACGGAACCTCCCACGAGGAAGGTGCGGAAGCTGCAGGTCGAGGACACGTCCGACGCGAGTTAGGCCCTCTCCTCCTCCTCCTCCTCCTCTCCTTCTCCCCCTCCTCCTCCTCCACCTCCTCCTCCTCCGCCTCCTCCTCCTCCTCCTCCCGCACCCCCTCCTCCTACCCCCCCTCCTCCTCCTGCTCCTCTTCCTCCTGCTCCTCCTGCTCCTCCGCCTCCTCCTCCTCCTCCTCCTCCTCCTCCTTCTGCTCCTCCTCCCCTCCTCCTCCTCCCCCTCCTCCTCCTCCTCCTCCTCCTCCTCCTCCTCCTCCTCCTCCTGCTCCTCCTCCTCCCTCCTCCTCCTCACCCTCCTCCTCCTCCTCGGAAGGGCGCGCCGAGAGCCGCCTGGCCTCCGCGGGCGGCGGCGCCGGGGCCGTGGAGCCGACCGCGGCCGGCGAGTCCCCGGCCACCACGGGCGCGGCGCAGAAGCAATCGCGGGCCTCCGCGTGCCTGCCACGGGCGGTCGGGTGGCCAGGGGAGCCCTCCTCCTCCTCCCTCCTCCTCCCTCCTCCTCCTCCTCCTCCTCCTCCTCTCCTCCTCCTCCTCTCCTCCTCCCTCCCCCTCCTCCTCCTCCTCCTCCTCCTCCTCCTCCTCCTCCTCCTCCTCCTCCTCCTCCTCCTCCTCCTCCTCCTCCTCCTCCTCCTCCTCCTCCTCCTCCTGCTCCTCGGTCGGAAGCATGGCGCAGAAAGATTTGGGGTCTGAGGCTCGAATCGTGGCTCCCCCCACGATGTTGCGCTCTGAAAGGAGCAACGCACGGCATAAACATACACGTTCGGAGGTCCGCGCGGACTTCTTGGCTCGGCGATGAACCCCCCCTCGGAGCGCGCCAGAAGCGGCGCCAGAGGCGCCGGCAGGGGGACTCCGCACGGATTCAAAAAATCCGCGCAGAGCGCCGAAAGCTTATGCTTGTGCCGCTTCTCCCTCTTCGAGCTCTTGCTGCGCTCACTGCGTCGGATCTCAAAACCTGACGGCTGGGCGCAGGGGCGGCGAGGCGCCGCCGCGGGGGCGGCCGCTCACCCTGCGCGCCTGGCGCCGCCGCGCTCGCGCGCGGCAGCGCGCGGCGGCGCGCGAGCGGCGCGCGAGCGGCGGCACGCGGCGCGGCGGGCGGCGGGCTCGCGGCGGGCTCGCGGCCGAGGTCGGGCGCGGGGGGTGTTGCCAGGGGGGGGGGGGCGATACGTAGGGCACCCTCTGATGGGCTTATATTCCACCGTCAATACCATAGGTAGGAGAGGGAGTTGGAGGAGGAGGAGGAGGAGGAGGAGGAGGAGGAAGATGAGAAAGACCTCCTCATCCGCCCTTCTCCCCCGTGCTACACATGGTCACAGTGGTGGAAAACTTACCAATGACCCTCCCCGAGCCGACCTCGACTCTCGACTGCTGTGCGACCGTCTTTTCGGGGGGGCCCAGACCTCCGCGCGGCCATCTTGGATCACTGCAGCCTCCGGGCGCCGCTCGCGGGCACGACACGCAGGACGTGCCCCAGGAAGGGGTCTGGAGCTCTGGGGCCGCGGATGGAGAAGGGCACCGGTGCCTGCGCCTCCCAACCTCGGCTGCACCCATAGGACCAGTGGCCGATGGTGCGCGGCCCGCCGATCGTTCCGCGCGGTGCCGCGGAGGCGGCCTGCAAGCTCGGGCTCGGCCCCGCTGCGCGGCCCCCGGACACCACGCGCGCCCGAGGGCACGCCGACGGCGGCCCTCCTCGGCCTCTGAAGGGGGGCCCACACTGGCGCCAACTCATCCGCGACCAGACATGTTCGATAAAGGAGTTTGCTCGCGACCGAAGGGTGTCAGCTTTCGGTTACTTGGAGACGGCGCGTCGGGCTCCCAGCGAGAGGACGTCGACGGCTCCCTGGACTTCGGTCGCGACCGACTCGTCCAGAGCGTTACTGGAAGTCTTCGGTGCCGAATGATCTGGGTGGGCCCCAGGGCCGCCAAGAGCCTCTGCGCTGCACCCTGACGGGGGCTTTGATCGATGCAAGGAAGTGGCGCTCTCCTTCGACTTTCCTGAGCCATCCCGCGCGGAAACGGGCACTCTCCCCCTGCGCGCTGCCGATGTATCCGTTACTGGGCGCCCATCTCACGACTCGGGACGAAAGGCCGACTTCAGGGGAAGAGGTCGAGACATCTGCAGGCGCACGCTGTGAATACATCGCAGCTCCAGGGGTCTGGTAAGGCTGTTAACTCATATCGATCATATTGATGCGCGGCCACAAAAAAAACGAAGGTCAAGCGCTAGGGCCCCTTCACCGACGGCGCACAGCTCCATGGGGACACCCAGAACCAAGAGCATTCCAGGGCTGATAGCTCCAAGTGTGGAGGGCAAGACTAGGGTACCCAACCAAGGCTAGGGTCGTTCTTAACCCTCGTGCCAGCGTGATCCTCGAGGATGGGATGCTCGTCGAAGTTCGAAGATCGAGGACAGAAATGCCTTGGACATGGAACCTCGTCAGGCCTCCATGGGGCGCCAGGGGGACCTCTGGAGGCCAGAGGTCCATATAGAGAGACCTCCTTAGGATTCAATCCATGGGCTGCGTGTCCATCGCGCCCCTGGATAGCGTCGGATAACGTCGGATAGCGTCGGGCCCGCAACATGTGTCCCTCCACCTCCTCCATCCTGCTGTATTATTTGCGTTGCGTTTCACAGTCGGGCCCTGTTGCTGTTGCGTCGCGGTCGTGCAGGGTCTTCAAGCGATAGGCCATCATCTTGCTGTTTGCCCCTTCTCTTCTTCCCTATGCCACTTCTCGCTTGCTTCCCTCCCTCATTCTGTGCCCCTCCTCCACTCCCTCCCTCCTCCCCTCCCCCGCTTCCTCCCTCCCTCCATCGATCCCTCCCCCCCTCCCGCATGTTGCCCCTTGCGGACCCGAACTGCAATTACAGAGCGCCGACAAGCTGAAGCCCCAGCGGGGCCGAAACAGACGCAGCGCAACCGCTATCGAGAAAGAGCCACAATTGAAGGATACTCGAGCAGCCCAAGACCTATAAGGTCACGCTGCATGAAGATAGCTCTACATGCAATCATCTATGTAATTCCATGTAAGCATTCCTTTTCACCGCTCATGCTGTGTGCACCGGCGATCGGGCATGCGGAGGTGCGGATCGCTCCCAAAATGGTGTGTTCAGCGCATGCCGTATACCTTCCGCGAGGCCTGGCACCGATCAAGGGGGGGACAGTCAGGTAATTACACGCTACGCGTGGCACCCATCACATCCGAATGATTCACAAAGGGGTCCTAGGCGGTCCTGTGGATTTCTCAAGACATTCCCCATGAGACCCGCCGGAATCCCAAGGAAGTCACAGCTCGCCGAAGCGCCTGCCGTCGAAGGACACGGGGCAGAAGCAGGATTATGGGCAAGAGGCGAATGAGCAGTATGAGGAGGAGGAGGAGGAGGAGGAGGAGGAGGAGGAGGAGACGGAGCAAGGGGATGAGAGAACGAGAATCAGGTCAATACCCTCTCCGTCCTCCTGCTCCTCCCCTCCCTCCTCCTCCTCCCCCCCTTCTCCCCCCCTCGCGCTACTACCCCCATGTCGGATACGCGAATGCCCCCCGCCAGCGCTTCTCGCCAATGTCCAAAAACGTCCACACGACCTCCGAATCGACTGCATTTAGGCCGCGCCGCGCTCGAGGATAGCGTCCACACGTTGTCCACGATGAGCCCGGCGAGCTTGGCGTGTAGACCACGACGATCTTTTGTTTTGCGTTTGTTTGCTGGAGGGTGAGGCTGAAAGGCACACCAAACGTGAGCTCACAGCGGTAATCATGCACTGGCACAGGTCCTGGCCTGGACAGCCCTCGCCCCAGGATGTTTCAGGAGGGAAGGGGGGGCGGGCCTTCTCAGAAGGCTCGGAAGTTCCCGGGCCTTCCGAGAAGTTTCCCAAGCCTTCCCCGAAGACACCAGAAGCTTCTTGAAGGCCAGAGGGCTTCTGAGAAGCCCCGCCGCCTTCTGAGAGGGCCTTCTCCTTATTCTCGCTTCCCCCCCTCGCTCGCCGCCGATATGCGCCTTCCTGGCCTGGCCAGGTGGGCACACACACACACACACACACACACACGCACACACACACACGCACACACACACACACACACACACGCGCACACACACACACACGCAGACACAGACACACACACACACACACACACACACACACACACACACACGCACGCACGCACGCACGCACGCACGCACGCACGCACGCACACGCACACACACACACGCACACACACGCACACACACACACACACGCATGCGCACACACACCCACACACACCCACGCACACGCAAACGCTTTCTGGCGGCAACGAACGGCCTCGCGCTCGGCGACCAAGCGGAACAAGTGAACAGACAGTGCGCGCGGCGGCCGGGTCCTCAAGCATCGCTTGGGATGCGATCCTACCGACATCAGCCATATGGGCGCGGATAAAAAAAAACACACGCACTCACAGACACACACACACACAGACATACGCTCGCACGCACGCACGCACGCACGCACGCACGCACACACGCACGCACGCACGCACGCACGCACGCACGCACGCACGCACGCACGCACACACACACACACACACACACACACACACACACACACGCACACACGCATACACGCATACACGCACACACGCACACACGCACACACGCACACGCACACGCACACGCACACGCACACACACACAAACGCACACACACACACACCGATCGCCGATGCTGGCCCGGCTTGGCTAGGACTGGTGTCGGTGTGTAGCTCGAATCGCCCGAACAGGGGCAAGCAATCCACGAGCAACCCCTGCTCCTGCCCTGAACAAATGCAACACATCACGAAGGCACCGTCGACGCTCCAGCCCGAACCGCGAAGCGCGATCATCTGCGCGTCTCAAATAAAAAGCGGGGACATACCCACCACCGAATGGAGACCTCGGCAAGCGGCGGATACGGATATGTTTGACCCCACCCCCCCGGCCCGGATATACATCCGTGTATCCACTGTCTGCCGAGGTCCCCGAAGATCGATCCCTGATGCAGTGGTTCTGAGAAAAGCCCCGCATCGGACCTGTGGGCGGAGCTGGATCAAAAACGAGGTCTCATCACTGACGTTCCTTCGGTCCAACAGCGCCCGCAGGCGGCGATCCTCGCCGAAGAAGAATAATCATACCAATGATAAAGAATAGTAGCGCCATCGAATGATAATATACAAGAATACGAATAATGATACGAATACGAATAATAATGACAAGCAAAAGCAGACACATAATAAGAATACTACAAGTAGTCATACCAACAATAATCCGAATGATAAGGCCACAATAATAATGAACACAAAACAATAATAAAAAGAAGAAGATGAGGGTACGGCGGCCGCACATCCACGGCGCCTTTGAAACATGACAGTAGGCGCGCGCCCACCCCCGCGGAGCCGCGCATCGGGGCGCCAGCGGGGAGGATGGAGAACCACGGATCAGGTCCTGCCAGGATGGCCCGCGAGGGGCAGCACCCAGAATGCGCCCTGACTCGTCGACCTTGGCCGCCGTAGCCAATGCGACAAGGTCCAGCTGGGAGAATATTGGCTCCAATGTGTTCGCCAGCAGCCAATGTGCGCCACTCGCCCAACTTCTGCTGAACCGCATCCACCTGCGACGCGAAGAGCAACTGGCCTTCACGATCGGAGGAACGCTCTCAGAGACTCCCGCTTGACCCACGCCGCGCCCAACGTAGGAGAGGCGTCCCGAAGGCGAGACGTGACTCGCGTTTTGGTCCACTCTGGACCCGCCTTTCTGAGCCCGCGGCTGAGGCTCCACAAGGCACCGAAACAAGAGTGAAGGGGCCCAGGGACACACAAATAAATACACACAAATAACAGGAATCCCCATATGTTCTTATATGTTCTGGGTTTTTGTCTTCCCCTCCACTTCCCATAGTTTCCCATATTTTCTAGGGAATCGACGATTCATTGCGTCTGTGTGTTTTTCCCCTCCTGGAAGAGGCTGTCTCGTTCCCAGGGGATTGGCCGCCACAAACTGTTGGCGCGCGCCCAGGCGCTGGGGCCGGGAAGGGGCGAGACTTCCAACGAAGAGCGGTGCGCGAGGGCGGAGGAGGAGGAGGATGAGGAGGAGGAGGAGGAGAAGGAGGAGGAGGAGGAGGAGGAGGAGGAGGGAGGAGGGAAGAGGGAAGAGGAGGAGGAGGAGGAGGAGGAGGAGGGAAAAAGAAGAGGAGGAGGAGGAGGAGAGGGATGGGGAGTAAAACAAACACTCCCCGTCAACATCAGTTCCCACATCCCTCCAGAGCGGCATCCTGGCCAATTTCTCGAACAGTGTCTGGCCGTGGCCACGATTCCCCCCCGAAGCCCAGAATGGGTGTCATCATGCCTCGTGCTTCCACCCCCCCCCCCCTCGTCGTCGGCGTCGTCGGCGGCCTCAGCAACGCCTCCGCGGAGCGCGCCGTCAGCCGCTCCACCCGCGCCCGCCTCTGCGAGAGGGCGAGGAGGAAGGGGAAGAGGGGAACCAGGGAGTACTGCATTTCCTGGAAACGCGTTTCGTGGATGCTTGCCTGGAAAAAATGTGGACGTGTAGGAACCAGAAGGGCGGGGGGTCCTCCCAACAAAAATTATTTCGAGCGCATGGAGAGGCCCCCCCCCGCCCGGACACCGGTCTCTTCAACCACAAACCCTTCACTTCCACGGGGGGGTATTCGAACTGGTACCTCCCCCTGTGCAAAAGGGGGGGCTCGAACCGTTTACAACTCGAATAGAACCCTCCTACAACTGGATCCAACATTAATAACGTCGTAGTCCAGCTCGGTCCAACTCAAATAGACTCCCAGTACAACTGGATCCAACCAGCATTGAATCCCACTAAAGCTCGATCAATCGCTGATAGAAGACAACGAAAATTGAATCCAAGTTGAATAGCATCCTAGCAGGAATCGGTTCGACACTAATGGGATCCTACGAAAACAGGATCCAACTCTTCCTGAATCCTACCAAGGCTCGACCCAGCCTCGGATTATCCTGCGATGGCTAGATCAAGCTCTAATTGAATCCAACTGCGGCTCGTTGCAGCTCCAAAAGAATCTTACTAGGGCTCGATCCAGGCGTAAAGGCATCATACTAGGGATCGATCGATCGTCGTCGTCGTCGTCGTCGTCGTCGTCGTCGTCGTCGTCGTCGTCGTCGTCTTCCCCCGACGGCGCCGGCGCTCGCCGTCGTCGGTTGCAGCGGGGGGTGGGGCCCGGTCCGACCCCCCCCCCTTTAATTCAGGGAGGGAGCCCCCCAATGTTGGGACCAATCCAAAGTGAATCGGTACCAGTCCAGGCTGAGAATCAACGCAAGTATATCTAAGAAGCATGATTAAGAATTCAGCTCAAGGGTTCAGAACACGCCTTAAGTAGTACGTCCCAAGACGTACTCAGACGACGTCATCAGTCGTATGTCTTAAGATGTTCTTTAAAGAAGTACCCCTCAAGATTTCTAAGCAAATGTTTCTTGAGAGATACTGTTCGGACTTCTTAAGGGGTATTTCTTACGAGGCACTACTTGAGACTTCTGAGTGGTCTTTTGGAAAGATGACTTCGGATGATTTAAGGATCCCCCAGGCGTCGTGTACGATTCAAATGAGAGTCGCATGCGATTTGCATCGGAATCGTAGACGAGTCGAGTCACACAAAAATCGGCATCGGAGGTTGGGGGGTGAGATCGAAGTGGAACGGAGAGCAACCCACGGGAAAAATCGGTTTCGGTTTCTTGTTCGTGCGTGCCGTGCGTGCGGGCGAGGCGAAGATGCGTGGGCGGGCGAGAGGGAAATCCCCTGTGGCTGAGGCGCGGCCGGACCAAATGATTCTCCCTCCGGCAAGCGGTGGCCCGCGGTGTCCCGCCGGTGTCCCGCTTGTGGCTGGGTCCCAGCCGGACCAAATGATTCTCCCTCCGGCAAGCGCTGGCCCGCGGCGTCCCGCCGGTGTCCCGATGCCCCGCTGGTGCGAAAACGATAGTGAGACCGATGACGAAATCGTTTGTGAGAACGATAGCGAGATCGATAGTGAGACCGATAGTGAGATCGATCGTGAGATCGATAGTGAGATCGCTGGTGATATCGATAGTGAGCTGAATAGTGATATCGATTGTGAGATCGAGTGGTATCGATAGGGAGATCGACAGTGGGATCGATAGCGAGATCCAGAGTGAGATCGACAGTGAAATCGATCGAGTGAGATCAATAGTGAGATCGATCGAGTGAGATGGACAGTGGGATCGATGGTCCAAAGAGCGAGCGGCAACGCAACAATCACCACTGTTGCCCATTGCTGGCCCCCTTCCCCCCCCCTACCTCCTTATCACCCGCAGAGTGGTCGTATAGGTAGGAACCGTATACGATTCACACTGGAACCGTATACGGTTCACGCATGAACGGTACACTCACTATGCACATCAGAATCGTTCACGATTCACATCGGAATCGTATACGGCCCACATACGTCGGCCCAATGTAAGTTCCTCGAATTTTGCCACGACGATCACCAGCGGAAATCGACGGAAGTAGCACGAGGCGAAAAACGGCGGAAAGCATGCAGAAGACCGCGAAAGTAATTGACGTCCACGAGAGTCGACGGAAGTAGAACGAGGCGGAAGACGGGAGAAAGCTTGCAGACTACAACGGAAGTAGATGCCATCCTTTTCAAACCCCCTGCCCCCGTAGAGACCTAGCAATGTAGTCGTCTGCCGTGGGCCGGGCGGGATCCCGCCCACTTGAATCTCCTTACAGAATTTATTTTAGTGCAACCTGGTCAAAAGCCCACCCATCAAAAAAGAAAGGACACCTAAATCCTGGGTCGCTCACGGATCCTGCCGTGCTGGAGTCGGCTCGGCGTAGAATTGGGTCCATCAGTTCAAGGACTCCTGCTGCAGTGGGGCCGTCCTGCAGCCATCTTCAGGCGAAGCGGGGCCATCTCAGGGTCTCCTGGAGGTGGTTTTCGGTGGTCTGAGGTCCCAGTGATACCTATCTGGTGCTAGGGCGTCACACAATCATTGCGCACACTTTCGGATACTCTCCGTGTGACTTCTAAGGGAACCTTTTGTTAGACCCAAGCAAGCATCGTATACGCTTGACATGAGATTGGTCTACGTTTCACATAAGAACCGTATGCGATTCAACAAGAAATCGCATTCGTTACACATAAGGTCTGTATACTATGCACATAGCAATATACGGTTCACATCGGAGCCGTAAACGGTTCACATAAGAGTCATAAACGATTCAAACAACATGCGCGTACGTTTCACATACGAGTCGTCTACGGCTCGAGTCGTACACGACTCACACAGGACTCGAAGACGATTTACGAGTCGTACACGATCCAAATAGAATTCGCATACGAATGACCTCGGATTCGCATGCGATTCACATCAGAATCGTGCACGATTCACATAAGATTCGTAGGATTCGAATACCATGCTCGTCGGAACCTCATACGATTCACACAGGAAACGTTTACGATTCACATTGGGTCGGTATACGGTTCACATCGAAGACGTGTGCGATTCATACAAGAATCGTATACGAAACACGTCAGACCTGTTTACGTTTCGCATGGATCTGTGGACGAATCACAGAACGATCGTCTACGATTCACACGGGCTTTGTATACGATGCACGTAAGATCCGTATACGAATCACACAAAAAACGCAATTAGACGATTCACAAAAAGAAGGCCTGGGGATACACCTAGGAATCGTATACGAATCAGGTAGGAATCGTGCACAATTCACATCGGAGTCGTACACGTTGGAATCGGAAGCGATTCACTTAGGAATCGTGTACGATTTACATCGGAGTCGTACACATTCGAATCGTATACATGTCACATCGGTTCCGTATACGATTCACATTGGTTTCGTAAACGATCCACATAGGAATCCTCAAGAGCCATCGCGGGACAGGGACTAAACCCGGCGATGCATACACATGTAGTTCTGGAGTGTCTGCAAGATACGTGCTGCACAACTTATGTGTAAGTGCAGCTGGAATTGGCCCCAATGTGAACCACACGCAGCTGGGATTGGCCCCAGGTGGTCGGGATTGGCACCAACTCGCCGACATTGTTCCCTCTACCTGAGCCCGCCCCCATCATGGTCGAACCTGCTCCCCCGTGCAATTCGGGGGGGGGGGCCTCCCCGGTTAGAACATCCACCGTTCCAGACGTCCAAAGAACGCACTCTTTCGAATTTCCGGAGCTCTTGAACCCTCTCCGGGAGCCGGCTTCGGCTTCTCGTGCAGACTTGTCTTCGACGGTGCCAGCGCCCGACGGCGGCGTCATCATGGCCTGATTTGCTTGAAGAGACTGGACAGATGCTGGTTGCCCTTCCTCCTGATCAAACGCCTGACTAGGATCTGCGGAGGCCCCCTCCAGCCCAGAACAGCGCAGCCAGCCAAACTCCATGTCGCCCCTTCCGACGTGGCCCAGCGCGACCACCCCTCGCATCGCCGGACGACACGACCCTCTTACCTCTTACAGCTCGCTCCAATCGTGAGCATTGCCCAGGGCTCCGGAGAGAACGCTCCAGCCCCGTAATTAGCGGCTACCCTGGGGACCTGGCATGACGTCTGCGGGACGGGAAAATGACCACAGCCACTGCTTCTTGTTTGCGCCGCCTTCCAGCCGGCCGAAAAAGCAGCAGTGGTTGTGGTCATTTCCCTGGTGCCAAGCTCAACGGAAATGACCACAACCACTGCTTCGCTTCTGCGGGCTGGAGGGCGGCAGCAACAGAAAAGCAGTGGCTGTGGCCGTTTTCACGCCCCGTAACGTCGAGTCCCGTTGCAACCATGTCGGGCCCCCACTCGGGAGCGGCCAAGAGGGGGGTGTCCAAGAGGGGGGGGGTGCAAATCATGACCGGCGGCATGTGCGCTGCCCAGCGGGGGGGCCAGGGACGTAATGAAATAAGAAGAGGCGCCATGAGATCTGGGGAAATATCATGGCCCCCGCCATGATATCCATCCCCCCTAATCATCACCCCCCTCTTTTCCGCTCCCGACCCACCCGGCTCCAGGCGGGCACGGGGACTGGGATGCGCTCGCGCGGCGGTGAGCCGCGGCGGGCGCGGCGCCGATCAGCCACCGGTGATTGGATGCCGCTGACGGTGTGACGGGCGGAGAACGGGGACGAGGAGGGAGGGGACGACGGCATCCGGTGTAGTGAAGGACGCTGCCTGAGGAAGAGGAGGAGGAGGAAGGGGCCCTCGTTCCCCCATCCCCCGAGTCCGAGTGTGAGCCAAGGAGGGAAGAGGCGGAGGCCTGCGTGACCGAGCGAGTGGGCGGAGGCGCCAGACCGACAGCAAGTACCCCACGCCCAGGACGCCGGAGAGAGCTCCGATCTTTGAGGTTCGGCCCTCGAGTCCTGATGCCCCCTTGCGGAGAACGCGTCGCAGGCCACCCTGCCCCCTTGGCACGAGGGAGGCGGGGCAATGAGAGATCCGGCCCAGCGGACTCCAGGGCCTCTCCCCCCCAAAGACTTGCCCACCCCGAGCGGCTTCGTGGCGGCCGCAGGGCCCAAGGAGGGCCCCAGGCCAGGAGCCATGCTTCGAGAAGACTCGGCTGCATAAGCACACGGATCACTTCCGCTGGATCCATGCTCCGCGGAGTGCCTGAGCCCGTGGACGTACACTCAGGTCGGGCGTGTCCCCCCTGCAGGCGGTTTTGGACGAAACAGCAAATAGTCAAAAAGTATTCAAAAACAGTCAAAAATTGTGGAAACATCGTCCTCACACTGTTTTTTTAACTACTTTTGAATATTCCTCCTGTAGAGGGACACGTCCGACTTAAGCCCAGGGGGGACAGCCCCGTGGACCCGAGAACGGCCAAAGATCTGCAGGACCCTCTTCTCGAGGGCGTTCCAGTGTTGTCCAAGGAACAGCAGTTGATAGGAATGATGCCTGTCGCCATGCACGGTTTGAGTGGTGCGTACGCGGGATTTCTTCTTGGTTACTTGGCCATGCTCTGCTGCCGATGCGCCGTCCAAGTGGAACCAAGAAGTGCCCACACCGCTACTCCCCGCACCTCTCCCGGGGAGCGTTCTGAGCAGAACTCCGAGGCTAATTGGCGGCGGCGAGGGCTTTCCAGGAGGCCCAGAAAGGGCGACCACGAGGCCAGGGCGTCGGCATCGGCACCTCTTCCTCCTCTCGACGTCCTGGCGCCCGGCTTCTCTCTGCACCTGTCTGCCCCGCTCGCCCCGCGAGCGACTGCCCGAGCGCACGGCCTCTGCTCGGCCGGCAGCGCGCTCAGCTCGCGCCACAGCGCGGCCACCCGCCGCTCCTCCGCCGCGCCTGCGGGGCGGGCGCGGCGGCCGCCGCTGGGCGACCGCCGCCGCGGGCGGCCACCGCCGAGGGCCGCTGCCGCGCGACCGCGCCGACCGCCGCCGTGGCGGCGGCGGGCGGCGGCGGCGGCGACGCGCTCGGACGGTGGCCATGACAGCAGCAACGGCGGCGATGGCGACGGTGGATGCGAAGAGGAATTGGCGGGGCGCCCAGGTAGGAAGCGAGATGGGGCAGGCCTTTTCAGAAGGCGGCGGGGCTTCCGAGAAGGCTCAGAAAGCTTCTCAGAGAAGGCCTGACCCCTCTGTCTCCCCCTCTTGGGCGCGACCCCGAAAGACTACTCGGGTTAGGCCACGGGCCTGAAAGTACGGAAGGGCATACCTCGTCAGAACAAGGGGGCCGAACCGCCATTTACTGTCCCTGGGTGCGCGACCCACCCGCGACCCAGCCGCGACCCACCCTGCGCCAACCCCCTCACTCTCATCCGCAACTGCGGAGTACTACGTGTAGTCTTATAGTTTCACGACGAGGGATCCCAAAGTTATCGACACGATCCCCAGGTCCAACTTCCCCCACGTGTGATTGGTGTTGCCTGCTCCAGAGCCCGAGAGCAGCGCTCGCACGCCGAAGTTGGTCCCCAAACAACACTTGAACGATTAAAAGAAACGGGTCTTCCGCGCGATGGCATAGCGAACTTCTGCAGCGGCTTACACGGGCCGCCATCGCGGGCCGCTACAGTGGAGACGAGCGCGCTTGCGCGGGACCTTACGCGGGGAGCCTATGCGCCAGTGTCGGTGAAGACAACCCGGTTACTATTCCGTCGCTCACTTGCACAGGACGCTGAAGTCTGGATCCTCCGCCCCAAAATCGGCTGATGTGTCCTGGGACGCGCTCTGAGCAATGTCTCACAGCAGAAGCAAGTTCACTGCGACGACGAACCCCCCAGGACCAGAAAATGATAGAACATGCAACGAGGACGACGACGACAACCACGACGATCACGACGGCAACGACGAGAACGACCACGAAGATCACGACCGCTACGATCACAACGGCGACGACGACGATCGCGACGATGGAATATGAGGGACGATCACGGCAAAGACGACGAAAACGACGACGACGACCTCGACGTCGTCGTTGTGATCGTCGTCGTGATCACCGTCGTCATCATCGTAGTCGCCGTCGCCGTCGTCGTCGTCGTCGTGATTCGTGGGTCAATTAGCAACTGGGGGGGGTAGGTAGCGACTCGGGTAATTCATGTAGCTGGTTATCCTGGCGCAGCTTGACGACGGAGGCGCCAACGCATCGAGCAGAGAGCCCCGCGGCGGTGCTGAAACCAACTGCACGTAGCAGATTCGCCCCCCCCCCCCCCCCCCGTCCTGACGTATCTCCCCCACCCTCTCGCCCGATCCGAGTGATCCTCATCGTACGCTTCTCGGGTCGAAACTCCGG